CACTCCTCCTTTCCCACATTTATTAAATAATACAGTAACACAAAGACATATTTGAAAATTATTGGCAGCCATGGAAAAAATTCAAATATGGAAAGGAAATATGTCACTTAATATCTCTGATACTTCAGGTCCTTTTTCTGTTCATTTACATGTCAATGTTTCTAAATATATTTTGGCTTGTGTAAAATATCCTTATGTTTTGTTAATTGGCAATACTACTTAAGATAATAATAATGGAATATTGAATTGTAATCATTGTTTTTTGTAAAGTTGTATCAATTCATCAACAAGTGTTATTATAAACAAAGAATCTTTAAATATCTACATTGTTCAAGCAAGACGAGAAATGTGGTTGCCTGTTGAATTAGGTAGACCCCGGAGTGATTCTATGGACATGTCTAGAATGTGGAATGCTTTACAAACCATCAATCGTCGAGTCAAGCGTGTCATTGGTGCTATTGTTGTCACTGTGTTTAGACTAGCTGCAATTGCATCTACTGCAGCAGTTGCTGGAGTTGCATTACAACAAGGAATTCAGACTGCTGATTTTGTAAGACAATGGCATGCTGATTCACATGAACAGTAAAAACAATTGGACCAACAAATCACTGAAGATATTCAACATTTACAAGAAACCGTATTGTGGTTGGGAGATCAAATTTCTGTACTGTCTATTCGAGTTATGTTAAAATCTGATTGGAACTCATCTTATTTTTGTGTCACTCCTGTAAAATTTAATATGTCAGAAGAATGGGAAACTGTTAAAAAAACATGTCAAAAAAAAAAAAACATGTCATTGGTGATAAAAATTTAACTATTAATTTGTACACCCTTGAATGCAAAATTACTGCTACTTTTAATAAGCATTTACCTACATTTGAAAATGATCAACTATGGTCAGATTTGGTTCAAAAATGAAATCATTTGAATTTAATTGGAAAGCTAAAAGCTATTGTTGCTATACTGAGTAGTAATAGCAGTGGTATATTAACATTTTCTATGTCTTCTTTGTAGTCCTCTTCTGAAAGTGAAGACAGAAAATAAGCAATGAAAAAAGGATAGCAGTGAACGCTGATTTTCAATTATTAAAAGAAAGGGGGAACTGATGGAGCCGGAGCATAGCCAAAGCACAGCCATCTTGGGAGAACAGTCTGCACACAGATGTACTCCAGACACCTATCCAAAACACCGGTCTGAGGATAGAGTGTGGGAAGAAACTT